GAGAATTTACAAAGTTTCTCCCAATTCAAATCACGCCTTTTACTTGCATTATTGTGAAACTGATTCTGCTGCAAACGTTGATCTGAGGTTCTGATTTCGACGGCAGAAGCGCAAATGTCGGCAGCGGCGATGGCGAGGGCAGTATCAGGCCTCGCGTACCCGGAGCGATTCTATGCGGCGTCGACCTACGCCGGATTCGGTGGATCCCCAAATTCTGCTGCCAAAGGCGTCCGCTCCAAGTTCTCGAACGACGTCGCTCTCCTCCTCTACGCACTCTACCAGCAAGTGGGTTTCCTTCCTTTTAAATCTCATTTTTTAATCATGCATGATTTATAATTTAATGAATTGGCTTGATCTACTCCTGTATTATTCAAATTCTGGGAATCCGATCAATTTATTTGAAATTATGTCTTCGATTATTTTCATTTAATGCGGGATTTCAGTTAGCGTGGTTTATTATCAATTGAAAAATCTGGATTGATTCACATTTGTGTCACTCGAATCAGGGGTCAGTATTGTTGAAGTTTTATTCATTTCTGACATCTATCAATATGAATATGCACCCTCTTGCAGCTTGCAAGACTTTTCTATTATAGACTGTTATATTTCAATTGAAAAAATCATCATGAATTTTGTGTACTGATTGGCTGATTTGTTACATTATTGTCAAATGGGGAACTTCTGTAGATTTTTTTTTCTTTTTCTTTTTAGGAAGATTTGGTATTTTCTGGAATTTTAAGAATTTTGGAAATGGAGGATACTGATTCATATTGTTATGCCTGATTTCTTCGGAAATGTGCATTCTAAAATTATAAAGGTCGAATTTACAAATATGTTCATCCTTCCCTCCTGTAAACAGTACCCAAACTCAAACCCGGGGTTAAATTTTATGAACAAAAATGGCTATTTTTAAATAAAAACGAAAAATGGTTCAGTTGTATCAGGTAACGGGAGAGTCTTGTAGTCTTAGTTGGGATTTTTGAGTAAATGTGTTTATCTTTATTTTTTTAGATGAGTTATGCTATTATTTGGTGGTTGCAGGCAACTGTGGGGCCTTGTGACATTCCTAAGCCTAGAGGCTGGAGTCCCATTGAACAAAGCAAATGGACCAGGTTTGTAGTACTTAAATTCTATAATTTTCTTGTTTGCTTTGTTGGTTTTCCAAAATGGAAAAGCGACCCAAACTAGAGCAGTATCATCACTCATTAGTTTGACTGAAATTTCTTTGTTTGATACACCATTTACATAATTTCTTGATTTCTAACATGACAATAAGTGCTTATAAGTTTGCACGTCAAAGTTACAAAATTTGTAATTTGGACTTTGGAATAGTGTAAATTGAAATTGTAAGAGGGTACTATGTTCAGAAAAGAAAGTATTTTCAAGAATGGGATTCTAATGACAGTTAAAAATTAAAATTAATAAAAATAAGATAGTACATAGCATAATGCAGAACCAGTACAGACACCCTTCAGAAATGTTGGGTAATCGTAGTTTCATATATAAACTGTTGGAAAGAGCGAGAAAGTAGTCAGTTTCATATGGCTTCTTGTGACATATGGAATCAGCATTTACTATTTGCGTGTTTTCTGTAACAAGGAAGGACTTAAGAGCAGCATTCTGGCATAAGGTTAATGATGTGGTTTGTTCATGTTTGTACTAGTAGGAGGTGTTAACAGTAAATTTGTCATTGCTATTAACTTAAAGAGACAAGCATTTGAAAAATGATATCTGAAGATAACTGTGAAACTGATACTATGAAAGTAAAGTTCAACTAAATGAAAATGCAAACCAGATTTTAGTAAAGGTCAGTGGTGAAGCAGCTCCAAAAAAAATTGACAACAGAGTTTCTATATTCCTATTGTCATTTGAGTTAGAGTTGATTGTATGTTGGATTAAAGAGACCTTGAGTATACAATTTGGACAGCTCACGTAATTGATCGATTGTGACAAAAATCATTGCAGTAGCTTGTATAGAAAAGTAGGTGGCGTAAAAAATGACTGAAATTATTTAGTAGTCAAACGACATATTGAGTGGACAAACTATTAAGTTACCTGAAACAAAAACCAATGCCATCTTTTGATCCCACCTACTAGGCCGTGAGTACTTAATGTCTAAAAAGAAAACCATCTTCCCTACACTATTCTTCCTCGAGAGGAACTTTATGACTGGTCATCTGAAAATATCTTAGTTTTAGTAAAAAACTACTGTATTTCCTTACATTTATTGTAATTTGTTACGAGGCAAACCTTTTTGATTGGTTAAACCACGGGTTTGATAACATATCTTGAAAGCTAACTAAAGGAGTAAATGTTCTCTATATGTGAAAATTTCCGTTCATTGCTTGACCTTTCAGCATCAGGCTCACCTATACATATGTTGTACAAAATAATTACTTCCATGTTCATTAGGTTTTTGAACTCTCCGAATCAGGATGATATATAGCTATGTCCTTCTAACTTCAATGAAGAAGTGAGGATATGTTGACTGAAAATGGAGGTTGATTGATCAGTGATGATTATACTAATTTTATTACCCTTGAAGCAAGCAACTTGAGATACCCAGTCTCGAGTGTGAATCCATGTATGAATGGTTATGGATATCTCAATTACTACAAAATTTCTTTCTTACAACTTATTGATGTTTGAGCTGGGATGCAATTGACATTCTATCACTATTGAAATTTCAGTTTCTTGATTGTGTCTTCTAGATCATTGTCCCTTAGGATGAATCACCATGCTATCGGCACGGGTGAGTCAATATATGTCCTCTGACTTGTGTATAAATTGTGTCGGCACTTTTATGAAAAATCGCATGTCAAACACATTGTGTTGGTGCTTCCTTTGTTGTACACATAGTGAAGGTTCCTCTCTTGCCGTATCTTTCGGGATCACTAGCTTGTCTTGTTTATTATATTGCCTTTGTTGTAAGTTGTAACTAGGTAAGAAACTTGTCTTTTTGTAGTTGTTACTTCTCTACTTTTGTGATAAGTCATTTAGTTGAAATGAGAAATGGTCAGAATTTTATTTTTACTTTATGTTGGTTAATGGCATACGTATTGGACCAAAAGGTTATAGAAAACATTGAGTCGACTTCGTAGTATAGCAAAGGTTCTGCATGTGTTCAGAAATATTGGGCATATGTCAGCTTAGTTGATTTGTCCATTTACCCATATGTTTGCATTATGAATTCTAGTAATGCCCCTTAATGACAATGGATGTTGGCATGAGAGTTTTGAATTTTGGTTAGTTAATTTTTCAATTTAGTTCAGCATGTAGACTAAAACAATATTACTTTTTGTTTATATAAATTTTTATTTTTTATTAATAGTATAATTAAATAGAAGGAACGAGTTTCTGAATAAGATTTGAAAATGTATTTGTTATTCAAATGTTTAGTGAGGCCCATTTTTTATTGAGTAACGCATGCAATTATATATAAAATACTAGATTGCCTATTCAACTTTCAAGGTATTGGATCCATTTTCATTGAGAAATACAACAATTGAACATAAGTAAAACATGGCTTGTCATTTTTTCCCACTCAATTGATTGAGTAAAGTGGTGGGTCTTATTTTTACCTTGTTTGTCTCCCATTTTTTCAAGTCTTTTTTTTACATACTTATTTTCAACCACATATTCACACAATAAAATATTCTACACGTAAATTCAAATCTCTTCTCTACTTTTTAACCACACATTCTCCAAAAATTCACTATTCAAAACAAAGTTTTTTTTTTTAAAAAAAGGCCACCAAACATGGGCTTTATTGATAAACACATCAAGTGCCTGTTTGAGCTCCATTTTTCGCTAAGAATGCATTTTGGAATAGTGATGGAGAATGTGTGGCCAAAAAATGAGGAAAAGTTTTGGTTTTGTGTGTAATGTTATTTTATCGAAGAATGAGTGGTTGAAAAAAAGAGAGAAAAAATGTATTTTGAAAATAATAAGAATAAAAAAAGGGCGAAGTTGTTTTTGGGTTTTTAAATAATCGAAAAGTGGCTCACTTATCAAAGTGTTGGGGCTTTTAAAATAAAAAAAAAATTGTTTACATAGGGGTTGGCTCCATTATCGCCGCCACAAGAAGATAGAAGAAACCGTAGCAGCACCTTTTGAATGTCAATGCTTCCACTGAAATGCCATTGATATCTCAACGCCTACTTGACACCACTGAAAAATAAAGTTCGTCTATGCTGCTAAGTTCTTATGTTTTATTTTTCTTTTCGGTTATTTTATAATTCTCCGGCGTGTGAGATAATATCATGTCGTGTTAGAGATGAGTTAGCAACGTGTCCGACACTCAAAAAAAATTGAGAGAGATGGACATCCCATCTGTGGCTATCGGTCACCGACTTGCTAGTGCCGACAGTGTCAATTAGCTTACATGTTATGTAATGAACAACTTATTCTTTGCTCTGTACTTTATATCATCAATTCTTTTGGGGGCAACATTTCAATATCAAGTTATCATCTGAATGCACTGCATAAAGCATACATCAAATGATGACCTAGCAATGTCGCATCGAATTTCCAATAAGCAAAATAAAGGGAAAAAAATGTGCCTACATTTGTCTGCTTAGAAAGTTAAAAATCTGTTGAAGTCTATCATGATTTGCATCAGTTGGAGTAGTTTGTGGTTAGGGGAGATTCTCTGGAATGCTTTATATAATTCTAAATTTTAACAGGGGAAGAGACGTTATGGAATGCAGAATGTGAAGCAGCGAAGTTTGTTTTGGACTTCTGTGAACTGTTTCCCTTGCCAGTAACCTTTCACTGACACTTCCATTGAGAAATAAAATTGATTTCAGTCTCCCTTCCTCTAGCACAGCAGTACATAACCTTCATTCCTTTTTACAAGCATAATTCTCAGTTATGGTTCTATTGAAATTGATTTCGTTAGACATTTCCTTCTAAACATTGATGTTGAGAATGTGTATACACAATTACTTTTCTTGAATGTACTTGCTATTCACAATGTCTGAACATTGCTGTTTTTTTCTTGTCTTGAAGCTGGAATGGACTTGGAAACATCGCTTCCACAGAGGCAATGCGTCTCTTTGTTAAAATATTGGAGGTTTGTGCAAAGTTGGTTAAAGCAAGTCTCATTATAGTATAACTTGATTAAAACATTGATACTAGGTTTGCTATTTTTCTGAGCAGGAAGAAGATCCAGGATGGTATTCAAGAACCTCAAACTCTGTTGTGGAGCCTGTTGTAGATGTTGAAGTGAATGTGAGTTTTCCACCACCTTTAAAAATTCCATGTAAGCATGTCTAAGTTGTCACTATTTTCTTGCTTGCAAAGATACATTTCAATGTTATAGATTTAGATATCTCACACTCGTGGCTGAAAAATTTGGCCAGATGAAATTTCCTTTTAAGCAAGTCCTATAGTAGTTTTTTTATTTTTGGTGCTTACACACGTTTCTTACTAATTTATTTTAGAACTTCAATCTTTAGGTTATATGTCTTGCATACACGGACTCTGTTAGGATAAGATCAACTTTTAGAAAAGGGATGCCTCACATGTTAAAAGATGGACATTACCTAGTTAAAGACATTCTTTATAGTTTATACATGATTACTATGATATCGAAAATCACATCTCTAAGCCAATTTTCCAGGTCTATTCAGTCGATAACCGTCGAGGTGTTCCAAATTTGATTATTTCTATAAAAGCTAATTAACTTCGATATCTATCTCACATCTCTATATGTTTAACCTCACATCACCATGCAAGTGTGATGAGCTTTAAGGCACATGCATTCTTCCAATTTAAGTAGACATTTTTTTTACTTCTTGTCGAGAATAATAATTAACTTGTTGTCGTCCGAATATACTTTTTCCTCCAATTAATGTTGATTTTTTCAAATTTAGTTATGACACAAAGAGTAATAGAATTCTATAATAGTCTGCTAATTTCGATATTACCTCTTTTTTAAAGTAGAAAAGCCAATAATTTTTGTTTAGGTTTCCCAATTAAGTCAACTAGGATCTACCAAAATGCAATAGAGTAACTTGCTTTTTATTTCCGCTAATGTAAGGGTAGTTTGTTAGGTTTAGATTCCTATTCTAATTACAAATTATATATATTGACAATTTGACATGCTCGTCACTTTATGAGCAAGTTGCATGCTTGTAACTTTATGAGCAATTTAAGATGCATATTTATTGGGGGAAGAAAAAAAGTTAAGGTGCAAAATGGATATGTCCTATGTTCTCACAGTAAATGTCTTTAATTGGCTTTGTACTTGCCGTTAATTTAGTGCTTAAACTAAGGCAATGGAAAATTTTTTTGGCCCATCTCATTCTCTGTCCATGTTAATGAGGGATCATGCGGCCCCGTTAAGTTTATGAAAATTTGATGTATAATAGTGTTGCCTTTTCTAATCATATATAAAATTAAGGATTTGTATGAATTTGAGATGATTAGAGGATTT